TGATTCCATTTATGTAAAATGTCCAGAACAAGCACATCAGTAGAGACAGAAAGTGGGCTAGTGGTTGTCAGGCGCTGGGGGAGGGGGATTGGGATGACTGCTGATGGGGATGGGGTTTCTTTTTAGGGTGATGGAATGTTCTGAAAATAGAGGGATGTGGTGGCTGCACAGCATTGTGAAGGTGCTAAATGGCACTGACCTGTACACTTTGCAATGATTGATTGCATGTGAACTTAACAAAAAAAAAAAAAAAAAGACAATTACTCCTGGCCAATAAAAGAGTGACAGATGTCACAGCCAGGTCCTCCTCACATCTAATACTAATGTTGCAGACCTGCTAATGTTCAAGGTTGGGGTTCTGACTCTGAGCAGCAGGCCCCATGCTTGAGGGGTTCTGTGGCCGCTGACTGTGATCAGCTGTGTGGACAGTAGGGACCCTTGTTCTGGCGGAATGGGAAAAGCGCCTCACCTCTGGGGTCTCGCCCGCAAAACCCATGACCTCATCTGATTAACCCTAAGACAAACCCCAACGGAGGGATATTCTAGAAACTATCCAACCAGTCCTCAAGACTATCCATATCATCAAAAATAAGGAAAGTCTGAGGAACCATCACAGCGCAGAGGGGCCTAAAGTGGCATGTCAGGTGGGGTCCTGAGGCAGAAATGAGACATTAAGAGGAAAGAAATTTGAAAAAAATGAGGACTCTAGGTAATGATAATACTATATTGACAACAGATGTCCACACTAACATGAGATGTTAACAGGGCAAAGTGTGTGGCAGGTATTTCTCCATATTTTTTTACAACTTTTCTGTAAATCTAAAACTAGGCCTATTTTTATTTTGTTTTTTATCGTCATCCAAGGACATTTTTTCTTATTGCTTTTAGAGAAAGAGGAAGGGAGAGAGAGAAGCACTGACATGAGAAACACTGATTGGCCACCTCCCATGTGCACCTGGACTGGGGATCAGACCGCAAGCTAGGCTTGCGCTCTGGCTGGGAATCGAACACTAAACCTTTTGGTTACGGGACAATGCCCCAACCAACTGAGCCACACCGACCAGGGCGAAACTAAACCTCTTTTTAAAAATAATCAAATTGTAGGGGGGCTTAACCCATGTCCTGCCACCCAGCTATTGTCTCACCCAGGGCGCTGTGCTTCATGGAGGTGAAGTGCACCCAGGCCAGCGATCTGCAGCTCTCATCTCCCAAACCCCCTGCATGTGTCTTAGCCCCCATATTGGTTAGAATCTTTTGGTGGCAACTCACAGAAACCGAAACTGGATTTTTTTTTTATGGGAATTTTTTGTTAATAGAACTGAAAGGTCCAGGGATACATGTAACTTGGGTTTTTTCCCCCTCCTCAGCATGGCTGACATTTGAGATCAGCTGTTTCTTTGTGTTGAGCAGCATCCCTCGCTCCTACCCACTCAGTGCCAGGAGAACCTCCAGTCATGACAACCACAAATGTCCCCAGACATCACCCAGTGTTCCCTGGTGGGTAGAATTGCCCCTGGTTGAGACACACTGGTCCACCTGGTTCCAGGCTTGACTAGATCCAGGACCTTCAGACAGTGCCTCAAAGATTCATCCATCTCGTGGCTCTGTCATCCTCTGTCTTAGCTTTTACCTCAATTGTCTCATTTTTTTTATGGGGAGAAAGATGGTGCAAACAGCTTCAGACCAGATACCCTCATCAGCTTAACAGCCTCAGCAGTTCAGCACTTCTTCCTCGAGATGGACAGCAAAAGTTCAAGAGAAGATTATGATTGGCCCAATCCTGGTCACATGTCCTTGTTCAATCAATTGTTGTGACAAGGCAATGGAAAGACCTGACTGGCTAAAGTGGGGGTCACATGGTTATATGGAGTTAGCCAATGGAGTGAAGACCCTATGATGTCAGCCAGTGCTGTATGCACCCAGCCAGTAGGGTGAGAAGCATTGGAAGCATAGGCCTGGGCAGAAAGTCTGGCAGTCTCTCAAACACATTCAAAACATAGAATCACCATATAATCCAGTAGCTCCACTTCTTCTTTCAAATTCACACAATTGAAAGCAGGACCCAAGCAGATACTTACCTCTACATGGCTATTCACAGCAGCCCGATTCACAACAGCCAAAGGTGGAAACAACCACTGTGTCCATGCACAGAAGAACGAACAAATGAAACATGGTTCATCCACACTCTGGAATATTATTTAGCCTTTAAAGAGAAGGGCATTCTGACACCTGCTACAACATGGATGAACATGATGCTCAGTGACATAAGCCAGACACAAAAGGACAAATACTGTGTTGTTCTGCTCATAGGAGGTCCCTAGAGGAATCAGGTTCATAGGGACAAAACCTAGATAGTGGGAGCCAGGCACTGTGGTGGGGGGCAAATGGGGAGTTAGTCTTTAATGGATGGTCAGATGGTTGCACAGCAATGAATGCACTTAACGCCACTGAGCTGTACGTTTAACAATGGTTAAGATGGTAAATTTTAGGTTATGTGTGTTTTACCATAATAAGAAGTGTACCCAGCCCTGGCTGGTGTGGTTCAGTGGATTGAGTGCCTGCCTGTGAACCAAAAGGTTGTCAGTTCGATTCCCAGTCAGGGCACACGCCTGGGTTGCAGACCAGGTCCCCAGCTCAGGGCGTGTGAGAGGCAACAAATTGATGTATGTATTGCACACTGATGTTTCTCTCCCTCTCGTTCTCCCTCCTTTCCTCTCTCTTTAAAAATAAATAAATCTTAAGAAAAGAAAATCTTAAATCTGAAGGTAACCAAGATTACATTAAAAAATGTACCCATATTCAAGTCTCTCCCCACAGTGCCGTGGCTGTGATGACCAACTCCCTGAGTGCCCTTCCAGGACATCTCTGTGAGACAAGGCCCCAGCCTATCCACACGCACTCCCATCCCAGCCGGTGGCACACCCTACATTCTGCCTCCCCTCTGCCTTTTCACCTAATGTCTGTTGGAGGTGGTTGCATACACATTCATAAAGGCTGCCAGTTCCTGTTGCTAGCAGGCGCTCTCTTGCTGGCTCTGATGAAGCATGTTGTCATGTTGAGGATGCCCATGTGGCCAGGAACTGAGGCCCAGGGGCCCATGGCCCATGGCCCAAAAAGAAGGAATGCTGCCAACCGGTGAGTGAGCTTGGGAAGGACACTTCCCTGGCTGAGCCTTCAGATGAGGTCTCAGCAGCTGAGGCACCTTCACTGCAGCCCGTAAGACATTGTGAAGCAGAGGAACCAACTGGGCTGCACCTGGATTCCTGACCCGTAGAAACTGGGATCATAAACATGACTTGTTTTAGTGGCTACATTTGGGGTGATTTGTGACATAGCAAGTGCTAATGAACATAGCCTCCTTCTCCTGTCTCAGACAGGCATTCCAGGGCATCCCTTGAATTGTGTGACATTTAGTGAGTGCCATCTGTTTTCACAGGATGTGCAAGGAAGCATCGTGGACCACATCCCTTGGGCAGCCCAAGGATGGTGGGAGACAGGAGAGCAAAGTGTCCATCACAGTGCCCGCGATGGTAGCTGCTGGTGGGGAAACTGGACCAAATGAACTCACATGAGGTGAAAAGCAGCATATGACCAACCCCGGTGTCTGAGGACATCTACTCATCCTGCCCCCTCCTGAGATTCTCATGAAATCAGTGATGTCACACCCAAACTGCATTAGACCATGACGTGCACTCAGGATGTATCAAGCAGGCACTTTCTATGCACCAAGGCCATCAGACAAACAAAAGAGCCATGAAGAAATAAATATCTTCAGTTAGTGAAGGGCCAGGGAGAAGTGCTCTGAGATAAAACAGCCTAGGGTAGCTGGGGTGCCTCCCAGAGGAGGTGTAGGCTCAAGCAAGAAGCCTGCAGCAGGTCAGGAGAAAGGAGAAGCTGTCCAGCCTAAGGGAAGGGCAGGCACAAAGGCCTGGGGGCAGGAGGGACACAGGAGCTCTGCAGGTGGTGGGCAGAGGTTGTGGGGAAGAGTCTGGAGCTTGGTCAGTCAGGGTTGTGAGAGAGAGACAGAAGTTCAGGGAAGGGACTGAACTTGAGAGCTGTTTAAGAGGATTCCTGGGTTCAAACCCTGTGACCACAGTGTCTCTGAGCCTCAGTTTCCCCAATGTGTGCCTTGGTAAGGCAGGAATGGAGTGTTCAGGGCTCATGGCCAGTGGCCCAACGTGCAGAGAGTTGGAAAAGGGGAGTCACATTACAGAGCCTGGAGGCCAATGCTTGTGGCTATGTCCCAGGTAGGTAGGCAGGCAGGCAGAGGATGCAGCTGACTCCAAAGGGCTGCCCTGGCTGGGACAAGGCCTCAGTCCCATGTCGCTGTAGGGCTGCCCTACCTGACTTCCTGGGCATGAGGGACAGCAGACTGCTGGAATAGCATTTCAGTCCTCAGAACTGCAGGCCTCTGCATGATGAGCCCCTTCAGGATCCTGGGTTCTCAGGTGATCCTCAGCTTATGCAGATGTGAATTCCTGAAAGAGGAGAGGCAGCTGGGCATGTGGTGGAAGTGGGGGCTATCAGGGTTCTAATCGCGAGTCCTCACCCTCCCACCCCCCACGCCCCGTGGCCATGAGACTGCTGGCTGGGCCTCTTGGATCCTCAGTTTCCCCAACTGTGAAATGAGGCCAATGAAGAATCCACTGCAGCATCTCTGAAGATTTAATGATTTTTTAAAAATACCTAAGGCACTTCCACAAGCGCCAGGAAAATCATTAGATCCTCTCACCCCAGCAAGGAAGAGGGGCCTTCTGAGGCGATGACAGATGAGGAAGCTGAGGCAGGAGAGTCAAGAGAAGAGGCTCTGGACCCCGAAGGCTCTCTGTTGCCGTGCTCCTTTCGCAGACAAGGTCCGTGAAGCTCAGCGAGGAGGGACAGTGGGCCGGCGTCCTGACCCACAGGGGCCGTCTTCTCCTCCAAGGCCGCTAGGGGCCACTCGAACCACTAGAGTCTCTGAGCAGTCCTCTCAGGCCCGTCCTACTCACGTCACGCCCTCGGCAACGCCCCCGCCTGTCCAGATCGCACACCCTGGCCCAGAAGGCCCTGCCACAACCAACCCTGCACTTCAGGACCCGAGTCTGCGGTGCCCGTCAGCCTGCAGCATGAGCGCCCCCGCCGCGACCCCCATCTTCGTGCCTGGCGAGAACTGCGGGCCAGCGTGGCTGGCAGCGCCCGCGTCCTACGACGCGTCAGACACGCATCTGCAGATCTTGGGCAAGCCCGTGATGGAACGCTGGGAGACCCCCTACATGCACGCGCTGGCGGCCGCCGCCTCCTCCAGAGGTAACTCCGCGCCCGGCCCGAGTGTAGGCGCTAGGGGAGCCAGACCTGGCACCAGCCTGCTCTCTGGCTGATGCGCATAGGAGGCTCTCCGTGCCTTTCCTAGCCTGGAAAATGGGCCTGCTAGCAGCGGTTGGGGGGACGGCGGGGAAATAAGAGGAACGCTGCAGGCACGGGGCATGAACCTAGTAGGCGCCCCGTAAGTATCGGAAACTTCCTCTCCAGGGGAAGTGGGTCCTCAGCTACAGGATCTCGGGTGGAACCCAGCCACTTGAGGTCAGGGACAGGGTGGCAGCGGGCGCAGGGCGCTACCCAGGCGCACGTGAGGAGCTCCTGCGCCCGTACACCTGCTAAGAATAGCTCTGGGAAAGCTGAGGCTTGGAGACAGCTGTGGCCAGTGGCTGCTCTGGTGCCAGAGCCCGAGAGGTGCTCAGGTCCCCAGGGGCTGCACGTGTGGCCCTAACTTTCTGCGGTGCAATTACTCCCAGATTGTTCCAGGCCCCAGCCTGGAATCCTGGTCTTCCCTTTCTCTTTGCTTATGAACATCGAGGAGAGGGTGGGAGGGGGAGAGAAATGCAACCAAGAGATAAGCTGCACTGGTGCACACAGCCAGAACCAGGCTCAAAGTCCAGGGTCTGATGGCCCACCCCCCTCCCCGGGCCCAAAAGCCGTTCTGTGGCCTTGCTGGCAGGCCATCCCTTTTTGGCTGCTGGCCAGGGCCCATACTGTTTCCCTCAGGGCCACTGTATCCCTATGTCCACTATGCCCTCCTGTCCTAGTTTCTCTGTGCCAGGGCGCAGCCCCTGCGCCTCCTTCTCCAGGTAGCCTCCCAGCCCTGGCCTTTTGTATGTCCAGGGGGCCGGGTCCTGGAGGTGGGCTTCGGCATGGCCATCGCAGCCAGCAAGGTGCAGGAAGCCGCCATCGACGAGCACTGGATCATTGAGTGCAATGACGGTGTCTTCCAGCGGCTCCAGGACTGGGCTCAGAAGCAACCACACAAGGTGCCACCTTTGCCTGCAGGCACCCCCGACCCACTCCTGGCGGTCTCCGGCATGCGGGTGGGGGGTTCGCCTCCCTGGGAAGTCCTTCTGCCCTCTCCGTACAGTGGAGAAGTCCTGGGGGCCCCTCTGACGCTCAGGCTTCTCTTTTTCTCCCCTGCTCCAAGGTGATTCCTTTGAAAGGCCTGTGGGAAGAGGTGGCACCCACCCTGCCAGATGGTCACTTTGATGGTGAGAGGGGCTCTGGGCACTGGGCAAAGGGGAACCTCTGCCTGAATCTCCTCCTTACTTGTGGAGGGGCCTTCTAAAGAACACATGTCGACATGTCACTGGGGCAACAGAGCCTGGGTGGGAGGCACAGACACACAAGGCTTGGCACTCAGCAGGAGTGTGATGATACCTAAAAGGAACGACTGAATTGCACAAGATACCTAGAGGAGGCGGCAGCCTAGTGAACTGGGGGTACAGCTGCCAGGGTTCCTAGGCCATGTTTGAGTCCCACCTCCGTGTCTAGCCACTGTCTTGGTATGACTGCCACTGGCCCTGACCATGTGGCGTCCGTCCTCTCATTGCAGGGATCCTGTACGACACTTACCCACTGTCCGAGGAAACCTGGCACACGCACCAGTTCAACTTCATCAGGGTAGGACCTCGCGGAGAGTTGGGGTCTAGAGCACCCAGCCAAGGGGATCAGCTGGGTGGAGGCGCCTACCATCCACACACAGGGTACTCCTCCTTCCACCTCATTCTCTGATCTTCCTCCTGACCTCTGATCCCCTCCTAGGCCCACGCTTTTCGCCTGCTAAAGCCGGGGGGTGTCCTCACCTACTGCAACCTTACCTCCTGGGGGGAGCTGATGAAGTCCAAGTACTCCAACATCACTACTATGTTTGAGGTGCAGTAGCTAAGGCTCCCTGGGCCCACCCCTATCCCCCTCACCCCAGGCAGGTTGGGGAGGTTGCTACAGTCACCTGTGACCTGGGAGGGTCTCTTGCCCCTGGGCTGCTCTCTTGGGTAGACTGTGCCCTCTGCGTGGAAATCAGGCAAGGTTCCTCCCCAGGGCCCTTGGGACATAGGGACTCAGCTTAAGCTCCCCACCTGGCTGACAGGCCCCATACCCCTCACTGGGTCCTCCTCCACCCAGGGTACCCCTGCATGTTTGGCCAAGTTGTCTCAGGGTCTTTGGCCAAGCTCTTCCCTCTGCCTGCGAGGACAAGCAGTTGAGCAGCCTGTGACAGCTAGAAAGTTGCTGCCTCAGTTTAGACACCTGGAGATGACCAGTCAGACTTGGGCTTCCATGTTGTCTCAGCAATTCGACCTGGGGTGGGGGCTGCTGCAGTCCCTGGGGGCCTTGGCACTAGCAATGCCGTGTGAGGATGTGCAGGCACGGGGTGTGTGCTTGTACATGTACCATGAAGCCTCACAGCCTGAACATGACCTGGCACTTCCCTGTCACAGGAGACGCAGGTGCCAGCGCTGCTGGAGGCGGGCTTCCGGCGGGAGAACATCCACACGCAGGTGATGGAACTGGTCCCACCTGCCGACTGCCGCTACTATGCCTTCCCACAGATGATCACACCCCTGGTCACCAAGCATTAAGTCTGGTGGCCACAGGATCAGCCACCCATGTCCCTCGTTCTCCTAGTGCCTTCATGGCCAGGAGCTCAGTCTCCGGCCTCAGCCCAGGCTCTAGTTGAGGCCGCACCAGTTGAGTGACACTGGCCACCTTCCCTAATCTCCAAGGGGACCAGCAGCAGCCTTCTTCTGGGGTCGGGGGGATAAAATAAATGCCGACACTGGGCCAGCCAATCAGTGGCGCAACACAGAAGCGCACTCTCACTCACTCCTCTTGTCCCTCCAGAAAGAAAAAGGAATCTGTCAAATGAGCCTTCGGGGAGCCAGTAGGCAAGCTGTCCACTCCATTGTGTCGCCCACGAACCCCATCCTGCCCATGGGGGACATCACCAATCAACCACCTGTGGCTTCTTCCCCCAGCCAGCCAGGACAGCTGCCCCTCCTTCCCTGGGGTCGGCAGCTGGGGTCCACAGGGGTACAGAGCTAGGTCAGGACTGCAAGGAAGATAGCAGCCCCACGCCCAGGTCCCTGGGCTACTGAGAAGGGTCTCTGGCTCCACCAAGTCAGACTGAACCTCAGAACAAAGCAAAACCTTTACATCTGGACTCTCATAGGACCCTCTGCTACTGGAGTACAGTGCCACTTGCTGTCTCGTTTCCTCTGACTCAACACCGTCTTCAGCCCCCGTGCAGGGGCAGCCCAGCCCTGATCTGGCTCCCCTCCTTCATGGTGGTAGGGCCTGGAGGAGACCAAGTGCAGGGCCCCTAAGAGGGGCTGGTGTGGACTGAGCCCCGCCTCCAGGGCCTCAGCATCTCTGACAGACCCTGCCCAAGGCAGCGCTCGCCCATCCATGCCAGGCACAGGGGGTGCTCTCTGCTCTGTGGGCACCTCCCTACCTCCCAGGGCCCCCTGCCCATAGATGACAAGGCCAGGCTTTGGTCCAGGTGGGTTTCCTGGGTTTATTGACCATCTCTTGGGGTGATGAAGAGGACACAGGACGGTAGTCGGGCGGCACTACCTACGGTACCAGATCTTGAGTCTCTTCTCCCGCTTGATCTTCTTCTGCAGCTGCAGGATGCCATAGAGTAGGGCCTCAGCTGTGGGCGGGCAGCCTGGGGGCGGGATCTCATCTCAGTGTCTCTGCCCATGGGGCGGGGGCCGACAGCCCCGGCTCAGCCAGGAACCCCTGACAAGTGACTGGATTCTGGGCCTTGCTAGGCACCACCCCTCCCAATGCTGCCCGGCAAAGGGCAAGCGCACCAGAAGGAAGATCAAATCGTCTGGCTGGGGGCAACAACTGCGGGTAAAGTGGAGCAAGAGAGGCCTGGGCCACCCAGGGCCCTGAGATGAGTGACCGGGGGCTGCAGGTGGGCTGAGGGCTGACTGGACACATCCAGGCCACTTCCCAGGGTAGAGAGGGGCCCCCACCCCAGAATCCCATCAGTGCACTGAAGAGGCTCGGTGGGCAGTTTGGCACACAAGTGAGAAGGGAAACTCCAGAGAAACAATCCTCACAGTCCCTGTCCCTGGTGTCTCAGGTGAAAGGAGGAGGACACGTTGCTACCTGGAGGACTTGCTAGGACCTGACAGACCTGCCACCTCCGGTGGCTGGATTAAAAAACTTCATGGTCATTTACTTCCAGCTGACTCTGGGGTGCTCAGTAGCTACAATATGACTGCATTAGGCCAATTCATAGATGGGGAAACTGAGGCTCAGGGAGACTTACCTGAGGTCACGTGTTAAGCAGTAACTGACCAAGGGTCTGGCTCTTGGTCCAAGTTATCAAGCCTGCAAGGTGGACCTCTATGCATCTTTTGAAGCCCCATTCTCTGCGCCCTCTGCCCCCCAGTAGGAGGGGATGGACGTGTCTGTGTGAGGCTTCATGCCCCACCCCACCCCCACAGGGCCTAGCCCAGGTGCTGAGGCTTCTCTAGGGCCCAGCATTGCCCAAGCCAGGCCCAGGCCTATAAAAAACACTCAATAAATTGCAGAATGCTAAACAAATCAGCTCCATTTTCCAATGAGCTCCAACCCAATGTGGAAACCTGCTTCTCTGCCTTTGGGAGATGCCAGCACATGCCTGGGAGGCCACCCCCTACTGATCATCCAGATGAGAAGGCATGTGAGTCCCACAGGGTGGCCAAGTAAAATAAAGATTGACCAGTTACATGAAAACTTTAGACAAACCACTAATACTTTTTTTAGTATAAGTATATGCTGAATATCATGGGACATACTTATAATGAAAAAGATGTTAGTCATTGTTTTTCTGACATTCAGATTTAACTGGGCACCCTGCATTTTTGTTTGCTGAATCTGGCCACCTTGGTGATCTTGGCTCCAAGTGACGGGGGGTGGGGGGTGTGTGTGTCTTACAACCCACTGTGAGGATGAGAGCTCACAGATACCATTCATGTCCTCCAGGAACTTTTTCCTGTTTGTTAATTGCATTTCTTTGATTTTGTTTCTATTAAGTGGGATCATATAAAACTATAGCTTAAGAATGACCAACTATAAGCAATTCTGTACAGCTCAACCTAACCCCTTGATGTTGGCCCGTACCAATATCTGGATGAAATCAGGGAGCCCATGAAGGGACAACAGAAGGAAAGGCTGGTGTATCATCCTTCTTAGACCCAAATCTGTTCATTCTTTTTTTATTTTTTAATTTTTTATTTCCTACCTGAGGACATGCTCACTGATTTAAGAGAGAGAGGGAAAGAGAAAGAGATGCAGAGAAATATTGACGTGAGAGAAACATCAGTTGGTTGCCTCTTGCATGTGTCCCAACTGGGGACTGAACCCACAACCTAGACATGTGCCCTGACTGAGAATTGAACCCATAACCTTTCGGTTTATAGGAGGATGCTCTAACCAACTGAGCCTCTCTGGCCAGGACCTGCTCTTTCTTAAAAAAGGGAGAGCTGACTGTGTCTGCAGGAGTGTGGGGACTCCTTTGCGGGAACCTAAGGGCCTGGTTGTCTAGGGACATGGGCAGTGGACTTACCTGGAACATAGATGTCGACAGGCACAATGCGGTCACAGCCCCTCACGACAGAGTATGAGTAGTGGTAGTAACCTCCTCCATTGGCACAGCTGGAGGGGGAGGAGTGCTGTGAGGGCCTCCCTTGCCACTCTGGCCCCGTTCCCTCCTCTGGTCTCTGCCCCTAACCCACACCCACCTTCAACTGCAAGCAGGTGCCCAGGCTGCCCCAAAAGGACAACAATCGGATATGAAGTCACAGGGAAGGCAATAGTCACCTGAGACCAGACAGAGCAAGGCTAGTGGATGGATGCTCAGTGAGAAGCCAGACACTAGAGGCCACAAAGTGCATGATTCCTTTATATGAAATGTCCAGAACAGGCGCAGGACAGGAAATGGGTTCATGGTTGCCAGGGACTGGGGGAGAGGGTGGGGAGTGACTGCTGATGAGGTGATGAGGAGGATGGCGCTTATTGTTGGGGTAATGGAATGATCTAGAACTAGACAAGATGGGATGGTTTTACATGTTGTGGATGCACTAAAGCCCTCTGAATTGCACACTTTAAAAGGGCACACTTTCTGCTATATGGATTCTATCCCAACAAAAAAATGAAGCGATTAAACAGGTTTTAATGATGTGGGGCAATGACTACAAGTTAAAAAGGCAAGGAGAATATAAACTGTTCACAGAGGGGGTGTTATTTATGTGTTCATAAAGCAAACACAGAAATCGGACGGGCTGTTGGGATGGGGGAGCGATGATAACCCACAGCAGGGCACATTCTGGGGAGTGGGGAGTGTACGCAGCAGAAGTGTCAGAACCACTGTCTTGCTCTCTGCAGCTGTGGGGTTTTACTGAGTGTGAATTATACCTCCATGACCTTGTCAGACAGAAGCCCAGATAAAAGACTAGGGAGAAACATGCCACTGTGTCACAGGTAAGTCTTGTCACTGGAGCCAGCTCGCGGCCCCCAGCCCCACCTGACACTCACCTTCCCATGGACACGACATAGCGAGGCTCTGGCATCTGGTCATAGACCTGGAAGAGACGACAGGATCCACATGAGGCTCCAGCCTGGGCAGCGCGTGGACAGGGGCCAGGGCCATGCCTACCTTGCGGAGCGCGGGGGCCATCTTGTTGGTGAGTGTCCCGGCCACAATCATGACATCTGACTGGCGTGGGCTGGCTCGGAAGACCACACCAAAACGGTCCATGTCGTAGCGGGGTGCTGCCATATGCATCATCTCCACAGCACAGCAGGCCAGACCGAAGGTCATGGGCCACAGGGAGCTCTGAGGGGACCAGGGTGGTCAACCCGTGAGTGGACAGTTGTCCCCATTGTGTTTTAAAAAAACTGGGCGATTTCACACAGAAAAACAGATTTCTAGCTTTTCTTGAAGAATGCCACACCAGCCATTCCCTGCCCCAACCCCACACAACAGCCACATGACCAGAGCTGCCCAATGAGAAGGTAAAATGAGCTAGGCCTGTGGGTCAACACTTGCCAGTAGCCACATTACCCTCCGCAAAAAAAACTTAACCCCCCCCCCCACATAATATTAGTTTTAATAGTACCACTGATGTAACCTAATACATCCTAAACCCCATCTTTCCGACATGGGCACTTGCTACTCTGAATGCCTGGCAGCCAAATGTGGTACAGACCTAATTCTGAGGATCTTGTTCTGGATACCTCCTAGTGTCCAAGAACTCTGAATGCCAATTCTTCCAGGAAGCCCTCCTGGATGGCCTCAGCTGCCCTCTGACTCTTTTATCTGTTTGGTGCCTGATTACCCTACAGCTGGGGTCCTCAGCCAGACCTTTCTCTGACCCTCTGCATCTAATGCAGGACCAGGAAGTAGTCCCCACTGCTCCACTGATGTGCCAGTGCAATGACGGCGCAACGGTCGCACAACATGGCAAGACCACCTGACAGACTGGTGCCTGAGCCGGCTGACCCTGACCTCGTGTCTGGGTGTTCAGTCATAAACAAGGCTGCAGTGGACATCTCTGTCCTGGAGCTAGAGGCCCTGGCAGGGTGTTCATTGTGCTGTTGTGATACAAAGACACACAAAAGACTGAGCCAGCGTACGACCATCAATGGGAGATTGTTAACGTGGCCTGTCCCAACCCCGCACAGCTCGGGCATTGAAAGGAGCCCCTGTCTTGGGAGACAGGACACGTGTCCAGTGGGAGACATGCCATGCACATGACTTGAGGGACTGAAAACAAGAAAAAACTGTTTCCTGGCTGATCCTGGGGGTAGGG